TATATATATATATATATATATATATATATATATATATAAACGAAGCTCAGGGTTATCAGCTTGTGTGAGACAAGACGACGGAGAGGAAAAGGAGACAGATGCATTGGCTTCTTCTTTGTTTAAAGCCTACTTTTATGACCGTCACGTACTCGACACCTGTTGAGTTCACCATGCAAGGTCTCGGACATGTGTCCCCTTAAAGGGGACACGCATTTCCATTTATTCCTTCTTTCTTTTTATTTTTGTTTCATTGTGGTTTTTCCTCCAATGATATTCCTTGATTACTCGACTAGTCCGCATATATGCACACACGCGCATATTATACTTGTAAGTATTCCAGTTGCCCACTTGTTTCCCTTCTCTCTCTCTCTCTCTCTTACCCACACACGCACGCACTCCACTCGTTCTGTTTTCTTAATGGAACCGTCGTCAAGGGTTGTTTCTTTGCGTCGCTTTCTCCATCGGCGCCAACTGTGCTAATCCTCCATGTGATGACTAAACCGCATTCTGTATATGTCAGCCAGGGCCACAGTCTCCGTATCTCTGCTACCGGCCATCTTTACCACCAGACGATCATTGGCCTTCATATGCTTCAGGTTTCTCCGTGTGATGGGGATGACAATTTCATCACGCCTCATCACCAGTCGCTGGGTGGCCCCAAGTCGCACACGCACCGTGCCACTAGTGCCCTCCCAAAGGCTCCGCAGGAAACCCACTACTCCGTCAAACCAGCAAACCTCAACATCCAACACGTGTTTACGCTCAATCTGGCGGTTAATGGAAGGGAGACAGAGTTCCGTAACATCCCCATGAATCAGGCGGCCGCTGTGCAGGTAAATCATGTCCCATGTCCGCATCGTTTCCACAGCGGCGGCAACGCGTTCCTCCTCCATGGTGGAAAGTGCCAAAGGTCTTTTCGCTGACCCAGAAAACACGGAACATAACACTTGTGCCAGGCGTCCCCAAGGTCTATCAACACTCAAGGGCCCACGCATGTCGTGCATAAGCTGCGCTGCAAAAGATTGAAAGGAGGAAAGATCAAAGACACATTCCTTTTTCTTGACCGTGCTAGGGTCCAATATCACAGCAGGATTCGTAAAGACGACGACCGGTACAACAAGTTCACCACATTGCTTATGCACACGACGGTCCGTATACCACGTGCCTTGCTCCCGCGACTTATCCTCCATAACACCCTCCGCATTAAGTGAACTATTGGTTTTGAGCATGTAATAGTCTGAAAGCGGGATCCGTTTGTCATTTTCAATAAAGCGACGAAGTGCGGCTGCTTTTACTAAGTTGTCTTCTTGAATATCCTCAAACTCCAACGCACGCCTAGTGTTATTTGGGCACTGAAACCACCGCGGGCCGTTGCTCCAAACTTGGCCGCGCCAGTGCTTTACCTCCACCACAAGTACAACAGGCCCCACCGCCACCACATCAATTTCACGGTTGTGCCCGAGGCGCTGTACACGCACACGTCGGCGAAGAAATACGTGTTTCCAACCAGCGGCGCGCAACGCAGCTTCCACCAACTCCTCCGCCTGCATAGAAGCCAGAAGTTGCCTCTGGCGAAACGACATGCCAGCAAGGGACAAAATACGACGCCACGCTAAGGACGACAAACTAACCCGGAAGAATCCTTTGGACAAGCCAATAGCGACAAGGACCACCAGCAGCGTGAAAAGCGCCATCAGCACAGTCGGTAGCCAATAGGCTACATCAACTGCAAACTTCCACATTCACCCTCGCTTTTCAAACCACACAAATCGACGGGCAGACACAAACCCACACAAAGTAGGGGGGGGAAAAAAGGGTAGGAACAAAACACGCATGCATGAATAGATGGGAACTGTGTGCACGTGCCAACATACATACATGTATACAACGCCACATGACAAGTCACAGACTGTTACGAGTGTTTTTTTTGTTCCCCTCTTTTATTCTTTTAATTTTAAAAAATGATTATATAGCACAAATAGAAGAGAAAAAAACAACACTAATACAACACGTTTTTATCCATCTATCGCTTATATTAAAAGCACAACATGCTTATCCTTCACTTTTTCATCTTTTTTTTTGTTTTTTTTTTTTTCAGATATCTTTTCCCGTCCCTTGAGCTACACTAACTGTTAGGATGGCTACATTCCCCACGTGTACTCTGGTG